GACTGTAATCTAAATTGCTCTCATCTCATCCCCATGACTATATATAAGATGACCAAAAACCGAAACTTATACGTATAAATAAGATGATAACTCTATACTGTGTGAATAATAACTGGAGGGTTGGTGATAACATAATAGAAATGCACAGCAAATGATTTTTCATTTAAACTGGCAACACAAATATTAATAATACGTATATGACAGCCGTTGACATATGTTCACATATTGTGTAAAAGGGTATGCCTAAAACGTACTCCTCGAATGAACAGAATATTCTGCACAGATTGTTAATAAGAACGAGCTAACCAACTTTGACAATAGGAATTTGCCATTTTTTTGCAGTAACGTTATCAAGTCTGTGTTTGAAAGAAACTAATGCAGGCATAAAATAATTATTTTTTTCATAAGAATTAAACAAAGAATTTTGCTAACAAAGAATAATGAATCTATGACCTACATAACAAAAATAAAAAGGTTAAAAACATTATGAAACGATAAATGGTTATTTTAAGATGTAGAATGATTGAATTGTTGCAAAAATGTATATTATTGTGGTAGTTTAGAAGCTTTTTTCTTGTCTGTGGTAGACATTCATTCCAAATTGAAAGTAAATGCATTTTTTTATTAAAAAAAGCCTATTCTTAATCTTATTTCTGTATATATGGTTTCTTTAAAACTGGTTACAATATGAATATATTGTATTCACGTATAAAACACAGACTGTATTATGATAGACATCATTGTAGCCAATTAAGATACTATTACTGAGCTCCTGTGATGCCTCAGGCCTTATTTAATTAAGTGAAATGTAACAATAATTGAACGCCATCTGGTTAACTATATAAAAGACTGACTGAGCTTATATCCAATAATATACTTGTTCATTTTCCTCGAGCTCTGTAATACTGGCGTTTTGCATTCTGACATAGATTGTCAATTATACATTTGGTGTTGGGGCCTGGCAAGAAACTATTATAGAGCTCGTGTGACGTCACAGGACCTCATTTACTTAAAGAAGTTATAAAATATTAATGTTTTTTTTTTTCATTTATTTTGGCACAAATCAGTCATTAAACATAAAGCAATATAAAAATACACTGAACAAAAGACAAGGAGTACCAAAAAATGGATTTAAATAAATGTAGTACATTTCATAGAGCGTTAGACTCAAATAACCTGTGGAAATTACACAAAAAAGAAAATAAAAGGTTTAAAAGAAAGACATACATTACGACATTACTAAGTAAATGTTAACAATTTACGTTTAAATAAGTTAACAATCGAATGTTATCTTTATACCGCTGACTGAGATTGCATCCAATACTATTCTTACTCATGATCCAGAAGCTACATAATACCGCAGTTTTTCGCAATTCGCAAAAAACAAATCTACAGATTGTATAACCTTAATTTAAGTCAGAAGGCCTACATGACGCGTTGGGCATTGCAAAACTTGTCGACAACGAATTTTGACGTTATTATCTGTCTATCCTTGTACAAATAGTTACAATGATATTGATAGCTATACTGTGTGAACAATAAGTGGAGGGGTTGGCGATAACATATATTGGCTGATAATATAACCCTTGTTACATTGTAATTCCCTTTTCATTAGAATATCGATCGAATGATAATAAAAGAGATAAAATCACATACTGTACGAAGGGTGAAAGCTAGATTGACTGATAGAATACTTCTATACTTTTATTTTAAGAGATACATACATATTATACATAGAAAACATTGAAACACCGAAACAAATATTTGCGGATCATACAAAAATTTGATCCGACCCTGGAATCGAACACGAGACCTCAGCACAGCAGTCGCATACGTTACCACTGCACCAGCGAGGCAGTATTATATTATAAATGCAAAAGTGTGTCTGTATGTCTGTCTGTTACCCCTCTTCACGCTTAAACCGGTCAACCGTTTTAGATGAAATTTGGTATAAGGTCCCGAGTCCCGGGAAATAACTTAGAGTAGTTTTTATCGCAGAAATCATACTAACCTCCTCTCTAAGGAGAGGCCTATGTCCAGCAGTGGACTATTAAAGGATGTTGATGTGATGTGATGATGTGAATTAAGTATTTCACGGCATCGGTACAATACTAAAAACAAATAAGTCTGATCTCTATCCTTCCGTCTATAATGTAATAATTTCAAATAACCAAACAGGAGGTGGTTTAATATATCTTCAAAGCTCCTAAACGAATGAACTGATCTCGATTGGTGGTGATCTTAGCTATAATTCAAGAAACTGTTCAGCGGTTCGAAGGTCTTTCAAGTCTACTACAAGCCGTATTAAAGTTTGTAGTTCTACTATGTCACTATTCAAATCCACTTAAATATACTATTAGATACTATTTTCTGTTTAATTCACAAATAAATCGCTAAAATAACCAATAAGAAAACACGAGATCAATAACTTTAAAAATAACTAAGGAATGAAATAATGTATGTGTGAATAAGTAAATGGATGAAAGTACCCACACTTTTTACACACCTGTTATGTTGTGTTTCTACCAGCCAACGGTTTATGCGGGACTTTTACTGCAAACAATGAATATTTGAAATATAATGCTAATTTGTTTAAGAATAAAAAATTTCATTTCTAATTTTCTTTATATTATTTTTCTATTTTTCGTTCTAAAACCATATCAATATATTACGTTTCAATCTCGTAAATTATAAATAGTGCAACACTTATTCAAAATATCGATAAAAAGTGGGGTACACACAATATTAATTCGTAGCTACCCACGTTTAAAACATAACATACAACACGTTTGTTAGCGTCAGTTTTACCCTCCGACCGCTGTTGGCTTGATCGAGTGTGATAAGAGATAACGGGCTGTAATCGAGCGATGTACGGCCTTATCAGTGATAACGTTCCAAACAAGTGCGTGGCACACACACAAGAATGGTGGTATGGATTTTCTAGAATCGCTAGGTACATAACCTCATATATTATAATCTATGATTATTTTCAATCTAGTCGTGGAAGAGTCATGCTTCGGCTCACATAGGTTCGAAAGGAGTGATATCACGGCCTCACGGAAAACTAGTGTTAAGAGATTCAATCTTTATTTTTTACCGGCTGAGTGAGGTCCGGAGGCCCAATTTCCTTCTGTTCTCCAACTCTGGAGGGGGGACAGGTACCATGGGTGAATGTAGTTACTTTCCATTGGGCGACCCGGCTGCTCCCTTTGCCGTAAAAAAATCAATAGTTATTCGCGTGGGTTTATTTTTTTTTACCGTCGTAAATAACTCATTAATATATGTTATACTAGGTAGATATTTCTTTTATACTGAAAAGAATCAACCGTATTGTACGAAATCCATTGCTTCTTAGGTTTGTCGATTCATTTGGAACTTCTAGTCAAAACTTAACATCTATAAGAAACATTGTATCGTTGTATTTGTTTCAATATTTGACATAGTTTATGGATTAAGTTCAAATATAGTTATAACACAAACAGTTAAGTTATAACATTTGTATTTTTATTAAGTAGAAAATTTTAATTTTATCTTACATATGGGGCAAACGGAAGATTCTTCACTTAATTCTTATACACATATTACAAATTATATCTTGATAGTACTTGTGGATCATACACCATTTACTAGACAATATTTAAGTGTAATAACAACATGTTTCAATGCAATATTTATCAGTCTTTTATTCTTATCACGATATGTGTTTACTTACTTTTATAGGTTTTAATAAAGTCATACTTTTATTTTCCTTTAAACTTCTTATATTTTGCTGATACTGAATAATTATTTTAATACCTTAAAATTTGGGTATGTTAAAATTTATACAGTGTATCACTGCTGCTACACTTGGCTGAAGCATCTGAATCGAATTCATATTTTATTCTATTTTTATACCATTGAGGAAATAAGTTCATGGCTTTCTTATTATTGCTAAGCAGACACTAGTTCTATATAAGCCAAAGAAGCGTCATTTTTCTTCCTTTGTCGTGTCGTTTCTTCTTCTATATCCCTGTCATAATCGTCTCATAAATTGATATAGGTATCCCAGTAATACGGTTGAAATGAAGTCATAACCTTACCCAAAATCCTTCATTTAAGCAGAACTCTATACTACCTTATCAGTTGTTTAATTGATACTGTAAATAGTTCTTGTTACCATCAAGAGGTGGCACTAGTAAACGTTAAGTGAGCTATGCTCAAACATATTTTCCACTGATGAATCATCCGCTATTTGAAATAGATGTATATCATCAAATTGGAAGTCAGTAAACAAAGACAAAAACCACCACTTATAAGTCAGTCAAAAATTTTCTTAGCTAAAATGTTTTTAAATTTAGAAACACTTGGAGTATAGTTTGTCACATTTGCTGTCTCCACTTTTTTTCAAACATTTTTGCTATTAAAAATGGTCATATAAATTCAGGTCAATACGACATCGACTTTATAACTGTAGATCGCAATTTTTTTTATCGTTATTATGGTTCTTAATAAATCTTAAGTGCCAGGTTAGATTTTGTGATCATGCTAGGCGTACTGCTACTATGAATTTATGGGGTGTTGGTCAATGAAAACTACATGAAAAACTAAACAATGTAGACTAGATACGCTAAGTAACGCCTTTTTCTGATATTACCTACTAAGAGGGAAGCAAGACGAGTATGCGAACTAACTGAAGCTTATTAATAATTACTTTAGCAAGATAACGTTAGAAATACCAAAGGTGGGGAACGTATTGGTTGTTTAATAATAATTAAGAATCTTAAAATCACCCATTTCTTTGGTGCTGGGATGGAAAATCTTTTCGGATCTCCAAATCCCGTGGCACGCCATCGAGCGATGCAGGAGCGTGAGAGGGCAGGAGATGTGATTTCAAGGTCCCCTGAAGTGACGCCTCGCTTATCCAGGCTATATCCCGAAGGAAGACGCAAGCTTCCTCCCGATTCTAATATAGTTCTAAAAAAATATATTTAAATACTGAACTATTGTTTTTGTTGTTACAGTGGGATGACAATGAACATCAACAACAACAACGTCACAAGTATAAACAATAACAACAATGACGAGAAGCCGGAGATGCCGGACCCTGACTACATCAAGGTAATTTATACTTAAGTTGTAATTTTTACTTACTTAATTTAAGTGTGAAAAAAGAAATACTTTGTAATCTGAAGTTTATTTATTTATTTATTTTTTTATTTTTTTTCCATTCAGTTGACACATTCACGGGATCTGCACTTTTAGGTAAACAGTAGAGGAGATCCCTTTTTTTTTAATGAATATAGTGCATACCTATACCTATATATAATACTAGCTGGTGCCCGCGACTTTTTGCTCGTGGAATTTGAAAAGCGCTGCCTTAGTGGGTTCGTTCGCTCTTAGTGGATTCCCGGACCGGTTAAATATTTATAGCCTAAGTTACTCCTGGTAGTAAAATATAAATTCCTTCAGCCGTTTTGAAGATAACCCGGAACAAACAGACTGACAAAAAATATTTAAATTGGTTTTCGGCATAGGTATCGTGCAAGTAACCGTATGAACATGAAAATAACCTATTATTTTGACATTACCAACAGACACTTCAATTTTATTTATTTGTATAAATGTGCAACACATATTGTGCAACACAATTGTGTTTGCATTGATGAGAATTGTGGAACAAATCTATGAAGCGAGTTGTTTATCCTGTCAAAATTTGATCTCAATCGATGCAGAACATTCAGAGTTTTTGAAGCGTCCACAAACCAACATAATATTTATATATTATATAGAGAGATACCGAATATTTTACAAAAAAAAAATGTGTAACGAATACAAACAAGATACGTAGTTCTGACTACATTGTGTACAAGTCAACGACTTGTTTTTAGTGGCCTACATTAAAGTACGTACGAATGCAAGTACCTCTCTGATAAGGATATAACTCATGGGGCCGCAAACATAACCGAATTAAGATGATGGGACAAATATTTGACAAACGATTTTACTGTAGGAAGATTTGAACATACCTATGTCTGGCACAAAAATTCTACCAGCAAAACATACAGAATGCGAATCCTATTTCAAAAAGTTACTTTACTCCCTAAAATCTCGCCATTTCAATGGATTTATCGTGTTAAAAACTCACTTGTAGCTTACATTGGACTGAAAAATTACGACACTTAAAAGAACAAACATGTTTTGATCAAAATATTTACATTAAAGAGAATTCTAATTAAATCTACTTAGGGCATTAAGGTCTCGTAATGTATGCTACAAACCTATTTTTAAATATTTCATTCAGTTGCTTTAAAAATATTTAGTATAATTAAAGTTACCCACAGAAAAAAAAAACGTCCGCTGCTTAGTTCCAACATTCAAAACGTACCATTTCTTGTTCCGGATGCGACCGACTAAATGGAACAAAACGTACTCCGACCAAGTCGCATTTAATTCATTTCGCTTCAAAGAAAATGAAGTTTCAAATTCGCAAATGAAGTGATGTGCCGACGTAATTAAAAATGTTCTGCGCGGTTGGTTCGCAAACTCTCTGGTAGATGGCGTCGTAAATCCCCCCCCCCCCCCCCTAACCCAATTACATCCCAGTGATTGCTTTATGCACCGAGTTTGCAAACCGTGACTTATTAATTGTACCCGTTAATGTAAAATTTGTATTGTTTTCATAATTATTTTGTAACTAAAAGGCGTGATGAAATATAAATATTTGGCGGGACCGAGGCTACAGCTTTCATCTGAAATTTATTCATAAGTTTACACGGATTGTTTACGTTATCATCTTCTGTAGTCTGGACATAACACAAAACAATACTTGTTCATCCCTGATAAGTGTGTATATATATACGGCCGTGAATCCTCGCGTCAATCTCGATATTCTTATTAAATTTTGCCGGTCTTAGAGTAACCTGTGTGCGCCAATCCAGATTATAACCTATTTCTGTGCTCATGTTAAACGTCTAAAAATGTAAATGTAATATACATATAAAGATTGAAATGAAATTTGAAAATTGAATGGTTTTACATAAAACTAAATTAGTTTTCATTAACGAACAGAAAAGCAGCAGGGTATTTTTTTTTATTTCTGATGAACTTCCTTTGTATATGTTTTCATATTCGTAACTTTATTTACATAAAATAATAACTGAATTAATATGTGCATTGATTGTATTAAAAAACTTAATTATTTTATAATAATTTCATTTTACTCAATTTATTAAAGGATGCACAGAGACATACATATTTTCATAATTATAAAAAGTATTTGTGTTCCTTTATATATTTTCATTATTGCTACCATTGGTCCTAATTATTCAATATAAAATATTTATAGACTGTCACACTGTTACATTCCAGATGTTTGTCGGTCAAGTCCCTCGCAGCATGGATGAGAACGATCTGCGCCTGATGTTCGAGGAGTTCGGCAGAGTACACCAGATCAACGTACTGCGGGACAAAATCACCGGGGCCAGTAAAGGTTCGTCCCTACTCCTTGATAATACGATATTTTTAATAATTGATTGTGACTTGAGATCTTAGAAAAAACTTTATTATAATATAGGTAGGTAATAAAGCAAATTAAAAGTGTGTAAATATGTTCGTGAAACTATAAAGTGTAACGATAATATAAAGGCAATCGTGGACAATAAGTGCATAAGAAAAGCAGGTTGATGGAAATGGCAACGCCTAGACCACTAAAGCGTGATGTTAATCACGTTGGCGTTGGACAATATGCACACACATTTGAGCATGTTATTATAGTATATTGTCACACAACGCTGAGTGTTATTTCAATGATACTTCTTTGACTTTAATGAAGTCTGATGAAGAAGTTTAACGGCCAGTGCGTCCGTCCTATGAACATATATTTTAAAAGCAGTTCTAAAAAAAAATATTTTTATTTTAAGAACTTTTTATTATTATTGATTAAATTTACTAAAGAGCTATTATTAAATAATATCAACTATACAACTTTCGCGTCCCATGATAACACGATCAATAAATATTCGATCCCTATGAATTCGCTGACTTTGAAGTAACAGATTGATTTCAAACGCGGCGTAACATTCTATCAAATCACCGTGTATTGTAAACGACACCACTGAACCCACACCACTGGTGTGCGTTTACATTATTTTTTTTGGAACGACACCACTGCTGACTAGCGATTTATAACTTGAAATAAAGCAATGTTACTTTTGTAACAGTGGACAGTTAACATCATAATTAACAACAATTGTATCCATTACAACAAAATACAACTAAATTAGTTCAAAGAACTTTATGTGATAATTGTACAATAAATATTCATTTTTTTTCTGATCTTACTAATGAAAAATAATTGATATCGATGCAAATTTTGTGTTAGAAATTCATAACGGTGGTGCCGTTAGCAAAAAAAAAAAAGTAAACGACACCTCAGTGGTGTGGTTCAATGGTGTTGTTTATAATACACACAAATTACTCAAATGATTAGCAATTGTCGCCTGCGGTATTACCGGACCGATACGAACTTCAAACATTCAAGAAAAGTCTGTTTTCTCACTTCAAAGGCCGGCAATGCGCTTGTGCCTGCTTAACATCAGAAGATCAGTTTGCTTTCTGCCCAGTATATTGTGAAAGAAGAGGGGACCATTACGTGCAGGTTGACTGAGTTAACCTAAATGATATTGCAAAGACGTTGATTTAAAAAGCTCTATTTATTTCAAATATATATATATATATATATAAATTGTTTAAAAACTTTACGATCCCTTGCTAAAAACAAGAACATTTGATCAAGTCGTAACAAATCTGAAATCATGCTAACTCAAGTCGAAAGCAATAAATTAATTATAACTCTGATATACCGTGAAGTCTTATAATGTACTTGTCTGAGAGAGACAGAGGTAGAGGGAGTGTCCAATTATGTAACTCCACGTCGATGGGAACAGTTTAGATCTAATTCCAGCACTTCGTGATACAAATCCAGAATAAATTATAAAGTTAACTGTTGTATTTCAAAAATTTCAGATTTATTTTATTTTAAAATTCAATTTAATCAACTTTGGCATTTCTCATTTTTGTTTATTAACTTGTTCGTATTGACGTGTATTTGTGTGTTATTTAATATATCTGACGCATTCCTTTTATTATTTATTAATAGTTTATATTTCAGTAACGTAAACAAATGACTGCCTTTTATTTCTACTCTCTCTGGGTTTGGAACTTCGGGTATCCCCGAAATATAGATGTCAGTAACGACTAGATATCAGTGTAGATTTAACGGTATATCGTTAACATACAAAAATTATTTATATACTTATGCAAAGTTTCATAAAGTTGAATGTTGCGTTTGCATTTGGAGAAGATTTGCCCATAATGGCCATATACCTCGGGGACATTGCAGTTAGGTAGAAAAAACTTATAGGGAGAAGGTGAATAGAGGAATTCAGCTGGGTTGGGCAGCTTTTGCAGTCGCAGAACCGGCAACCATTAGGTAAACAAGCTCTTGAGTGGAGACCGTGTCTTGGCAAACGCACTATAGGACGCCAACAGGCCAGGTGGAATGGCTATTTGCGTAAGATGGCTGGCAGGAGCTGGATGCAAAAAGCTGAAAATTGATCGAAGTGGTGTGCATTAGGAGAGGCCTATGTCCGGCGGTGGACTGCGATAGGCTGATGATGATGATAAAAAGTTCGAAGTTCGAATTTTTTGCACTGGGGAACTAAAATGGCACAACGCACTTGTATCTTGATTTTTGAAAATAATTTAAAGAGTAGCTCAGACAGGACCAAGATTATTCTAATTTCATTACTAACCTACTATCAAAGTAACTTCAAATTTAATATGAATAATTTATTTCTTTCCAAATCTTTCAACTTTATGAAGACTTCGTACTGAGTCAGGAGGGTCCCTGAATTTGAACTATTTAGAATTGCTGAGTCTTGCCCCCAACTGTCTATTTTAAATTTAGAACTTTCTCTCTCTGTACTTTCTTAATTATCAAACTTTGTTCTGTCAATCTTCATTAAGTAATTTGAGATCGGTTTTCATTTGAAATTTTATGCGATAATAGGCTCTTGGACTTCATTCTTTACGATCACTGGCTCCATCAATTTTGTCACTTTAGTTTAGCGTTCGATTTTTGTGTGATAAGGTTTTATTTACGTGTGCATTTTTGTATTCCACTAGAACAGTGACCTTTTTGAAGGTGAAATGTGCTCATACGTTTCATACCCTTTGTCATATGTATGCAAACTTGAATTAAGATTGGTTGAATATTTAAGGCAGTTAATTCAATGTGTAACATTAATTCATAATTTGAATTACGTAATTTATTACAAAAGTAGGTCATAGATACGTACTTTACTATTACGATAGCCTATAATAATGGGATTTCAGGTATTAGGTATTTGATAAAAAAAGTTTGTCACAATATGTATTATTGTAACTTTGTTCCCAGTCCATACAGAAACTGTCCCCAACTTCTTCGAGCACGTCTTTACAAGCAATTTCATAGTGATCAATTATTTATCTTTCATTTTTTGTTTTATTTTCTTCAAACAAATATTTAATATTAATATTTGCCCCATTTTAATTATGCACAGGCAGGTCTGCATTATTACAATAGCGAAAATATTGATATAAATGTACAGTTTAAATTTACGTTATGATGAAAGAGTTCAATGTTGTTTCAGTGAAAGATCACAACACATTTTGATGCAAATGTAAATTTCTTTCATTGCAATTCACAGATTGTTGTACATTTTTCCAATTCTCGCCGCCGATGAAACTGTTACAGGAAAATTGTAGCTATACATCGTAGCGAACTGTCGTAGCATGCTACGATAAATCGTAGACTTGTAGAGCTTTTAAGGTGAAAGGCCTGTTGGTTACGATTTATAATACTTTGTTTAAAAACGCAATATTTATTATAAAGGTATTCTGAGTCTGGTTGTTCTTTGAGTACGCTTCATGTGTGTTTGTAAAGTCCCCCGCGACACAGGATATATTTCTGATCATGTGAAAATCAAAGAAAGAAAAATTGAAATGAATTGAAATGATTGTGAAAGAATCATCATCGGTTGTGTTTATTGCGGTAGCCGCTGATCTCCAGGCGGATAAGCATTAGTATGAGATTAAAAATGAACAAAATATCTAACTTTTAAAAGACAGCTCCCACACCAGGAATATATCCCGTGTCGCGAGGGACTTACCAAACATCCATAGACTAGACTAAATAATAATAAATAAATTGACACTAAGAACACCCAAGCCCAGAACAACAATTTGCTTATCATACAAAGTGTAGTCATATATATAGATCGAACCCACAACAGTCAGTGCAGTAGGAAGCCGCGCGGTGACCGCTTACACAACTACGCCATCCGTACAGTTGAATTACATTTGAATATGTGTTGTAAGCGTGTTGTACCGTTTTATATGTCTTTGTTTGACTGTTAACAATAGGTCAGATTCTCGCACAGTTATAATACATGTTGACATTTTTGTTTGTGCTATTATTAAAGTCTTTTGTTGTGAAAACCACCCTTTTTTACGTTGTCTCGTTTTGTAGGGACGTACGGACGAGGCTCCACTGTAGCGTTCATTGCGCTTCCGTGAGAATGTGTTTTTTTAATTTGTTTAATATTTTACTTTATGATTGCATTGTGTTAGACCTTCCGTAGTTTGCAAAAAAAAGGTTTGTTGAGAAAAACTGTTCAAAACCGTGTTTGTTAAGAAATTAACAATTCTGTTAAGTGTATTAGATTATTAACAAAAGTAAGAGGCTTTGTAGTATATAAAAATTAGCTATGAAAGGATCGAACCGACTAGAAACACATGGTGTTCCGTCGTAAGTGAGCCTATTAGTAGGGTACTCAGGTGTAATCTAAGAAACCTAACAGACCTAAACAAACAGACAACCTAACAGACCCAACCTGACCAGACCTTTTCCAGCTCATGCACAACTTTCTGCTATACTCTGAGTACAGTAACAAGCCCTGACAACTATATATTTTTATTGTACATATAAATTACACCCGGAATAAAAGACCTTGCTTACTACTCAATATTTGTCCTGGGTGGGAATCGAACCGACGGGAACGACCTCCAGCTTGGCAGTCAGGGTCACTAACCACAAGACTAGATAATATGCCTATTACTCCTTTCATTAATTTACTTTTTTAAGTTATTTCTTTTATTTTACTACAAATTCTTCAACAAATACCGAGACTACAAAGAAACTATGCTAAAAGTATTTTAAAAATTTGCTATAAAGAAATATGAAAACTAAAATTGTGTAAATAGTGTTCGTGTCATAAGTAACAGGTTAGTTTACCGCGAACTTGTTAAGCTGGCACGCCACTTGCGTGTTTGATACTTCGATATCAGTTTATACCACGGCGTGTCATTCTGCGGTGAAGCTTTCTACTTATAAATTTAGATGATAGTTTTGCTAATCACGTTAAGCCGAGCAACAAATAAGGTTTACCTTTGAAATGGAAATGTATTCCTAATTTCACTCGTAGCACTATGACACTTAATTATTATCATTAATATGAGTATATCTGTATTCTAACGAGTGCCTATAGATATATATAGGAACAATAATTTAACTAAATTACACTATTTTACAATTTAAAAAAATCGAGTAGTATTCACATTAATAAAAGATAAAAGGTTTTACTCACATCATAATTACAATGTCTGACACTATCGAAGCAGGACGCTTCATTACTTGAAACGTTTACCATTTAGGTCCAAAAGTAGACGCACATTCCGATATACATACCTTTTTTTTTTCCGTGCGGAAATCCCCTCGGATACCACCGTGTGGCATGTCGGACTCGAATCGACTAAAACCGCACGCCGTCTCGGGTACTAATACATACTCCGATATACATACCTGAGTGAAACTGTATATCCTTAATATATAATACTTAAATAAATATATACTTCTATGTATCTTGAAACTTTAGATTTTAAAAGTATAAGCAATACGTTGAACCATCACAAACACAAGTCAGCCAAGACCCACACGGACGAGAGAAAAGGTTTTAATCTAATATCATTACTTGTGTTGTGGTGTGATATTTTTGTGGTAATTGTATATTAATATACTATAGATTGTTTGTCGAGCTTGCGATGAGTAAACATTGTCCGTTTGTAGCTTTAATGATTTATATTGTGTACATGTAATCACCTTTTGTCAGACAGTCTCGACATGAAAATGGAAGATAATTTTGGGATTTAAAAATACGTTTTCTTTACCAGTAATATTTGAATTATAGTTACTTTACTAAGTTTCTTTTTGAAATTTCATCTGTAAATTAACTAGTCTAACTAACTATAAAGTGGAAAAAAATTAAGGTGTAACTTTTTTACAAATATAAAGCCCTCCACAAAGGTGTGTAAACATAATTATAATAGAACGCAGTAGTTTAAAAGTCAGTTTAAAATCCTTTACTAAATATACAGACGTAATAATCAACAAGTGCAAATTAAATATGTGACTTAAATTGTAAAATGGCTGTGGTTTTAAGTCCTCTATAAAAGCCAACAAAATTAAAATCTATTAGGGTTAGGGCAGACAAAGGGCGGCACAGAAAGCTATACAGCGTGAATGGGTGAAATGTACGAACGTCGATCGTGACCTAACTTTATGATATCTTCTATCTTAGCCATTACAATACAACCTGCTCAAGCCGTGTCACTCCACTTGTTATCTACCCCAACTATTTAAGCATAAAAATGATACGTCATAATTGTATTATAGTTTTTCGTATTATAAAAATAATACCTGATTCATGTAAATTAATAGTAAAATATAAAATTTACCCACGTTTTTTACTAACATACCTAAAGCCGTACAACACAAAATCTGAGAGCAATTTTGTCAACTGTCAGTATGCCAAGGTTTCAATGTGTCGGGACCGTCTGAGGTAAGGTGTGTTCGTAGGCATCCCCCTGTATGTGATGTGTATGTCATGTTATGTACGTGTGCGCTTCTGTTACAGGGTGCTGTTTTGTGACGTTTTTCACTCGCAAAGCGGCGTTGAAAGCCCAAGACGCTTTGCACAATATCAAAACTTTGACTGGGGTAAGTGCGTTTTTGTTTTTTATGTATTCCTTTTGTTATTTGGCGCAAAGTTCCAATCAAAATAATGCATGTTTTTTATATGTTACTATGTACTACTTTGGAGCTATGCGCCTTTATACTCAAAGTAAGCTTTGTCTTCTAACACATTAAACAACATTCTAGAAGTTATTATTTTTTCTGCAAATAGTACTTTGTTAGCCTATTGGTACATACTACATGTTTATAACAAATATTGAAAATTATGTACACTAGTAAAAGCCGGCCACGCACTTCTGTGGCCATCTTCATTTACTTGGACTACTTATTGGATGAGGTGTCTGCTGATTTTAATTTACGTTATACTAATGCTTACGTTTAATAAAGTAAATCGAACTAGATGTCAAATAGCGTAATCACAATTATCCCAAGATTTTGGATTAAGTCGGATATACTTATTGTAAAAAATAGAAAACTAGTCAATCGCCGTGACCTAATCAGGGACCGTAAGTCGTTGCGGAATGTTATTATCTAAGTTGCGCGCTCGCTTCTAGATTATTCATTCCTTCATGTTTTCTCTCCACACATCGGTTGCCTATAAGAGATTGCCTCTGAGCGATAAGACCGCCTCTTGTACTAACCTGCTGTACATTAAAGCGATACATTATTATATCAAAACGACTGTTTTGAAGAAATCAAACCTAAACACGAATCAACATAATAGCTCGCGAAATAAATATAAATCGTTTCACTGGCTTCATAATATTTGTTTAATTTTATTGATCAAAACACTGTGTGATACAGGCCAGCGAATAGAAATAGAACATTCGAGATAAAAGTCAATACGAATTAATAACATCATCTGTAGCTACTATCTACCTGTTGCACGGTCACACAGTTCTATAACAATTTTCTTTATAGCTTGGAATGGAAGGGGGGACGAACAAACAGACAATTCGATACTCGCGATTGTTATCGAACACAATCGAATTACAGACTTTCGCTCTGTCTACGGTCCTCTCCGCCCCCCTGTACATAGGGTTGACAAATAAATAAAATACAGGTACCAAAGCATTCTAATTTTTGTTTCTAACCAATAAATCTATTTTTTTTATCTGTAGGTTTTAGCTATACTCTGAACTTAGGTACGTAGATGTGTATCACGTGTAGTGTACCTTACAAAATTTTCCTAGTATAGCTATGTTATTTTTAGCCGCTCCCCATAGTATCGTGTAACATCAGATGTATGTGGCGTATAAAGCCAACAAGAAATAACACATTCTTTTCTTTATAGTATTATAACAAAGAAACCTATCTCATGAAATAACACTTCGCCCGTCCGGAAAAATAACACAAGCTAAAATAACTCCCGAAAAAGAGTGTTTGTTTTGACAGCCCTATAGTAGTCTCGTCTTCATCTCGGTGATAATTCGATTCCATTATATTATCGGAGGGGTTTTTTCTCTCTCGATTGATTCTCGAAACGCTCCCATTTTGATAGAAAACGCCAGGTGAGCGATCCGCCATCTTTAGAAGGCAAAATAATATATTTGTGAAGTACCGGTTCTATTATGTGTAGAAATGTGTTAATAATATTTTGTATTTTGGATCGTTTTTTTTTCCGTATGGTAACAGAGATATGATGCACACTATTTCTTTATGGTAACGAAATAACATCAGTCGCTTTGACATTTTGCTGAAAGTACTACTCAGTTGCGCTCTTCTATGAAATGTAAGTCCTTCTTTAAACCGACACGTTCATTGAAAAAGGAAAGCACGTAATCGCGTCTTGTGTCCATTTCAATACGATTTGTAACCTGTCAGAACATGTTAAAGAAGAATTTTCCAAATCTGTTTATAATTGTCGGATTAATGAGGTAACCATCCGTGTGGTGACGGATCAAGAATATGGAGTGTCACCAGCCCTATTCATTGCGTTGGTGTCGTAAGAGGCGGCTAAGGGACCAAACAGGATTACAGCACTGCAAAGAGAAGGAAAACTTGACACAAACCCTGTCCCTACCCGTCTGGCCAGCGTGCTATAGTAGGCCAAAACCTCCTTTCTAAGGAGAGGCCAATGTTCAGCAGTGGACCATTAAAGACTGTTGATGTGTGATGTGATGATATATGAGGTAACAAACATTTAAAAATATTCAACGTAATTGAGAACCTCCTCCTTTTGAGACTTTGGAGTCGGTCAATCAATATGCATATAACATCACACATTATTAAAATTCAAAAAATAATGCAAAAGAAAATTATTAAAAATAATATCCAAAGTACCATAAGAAATATAATTGCAACTGACGAAGCAGTCTGAAAACTTTGCCGGCCTTTAAATAAATAATATCAGTTCGAACTTTAAACCACGAATAATTTATGTCCTTCACTATCTACAGCCATTGGGCCAAAGGATGACATCGTAAATTATAGTAATCCGAAGGTACGACTCAACGTAATCGGTTATTCGTGAATTTGACCTATTTGATTATTGCATTAGTTAGATAGAAATAAATGAGATGAGTTTGGCTTTGGAGAAGGTTATTTTTATTTTTGCGCTTCCTGAAAAACGTTTTCTATATTTAAACCAAGGAACTTTATTATTAAAAAATGGTTTTTACTACGATTATACGCAGTACAAAAAGGGATAATAATTTAATGACACAGTACTGATGAAAAGATTCTTTACCAAATTTAGTTTTCATTACGAGTTTGCACAATAAAACGGGGATAGCCTTTGTTTATGGGAAAGTTAACTGTTTCTTTTTGAATTGCCGATTATTTCCTATTCAAACCTGTATCGCCGACGTAAGTGTAGTCTCTGTTGTTGAGCTTAGTCGCTGTTCTGTTAAAGCTGAATAATGTTAAAAATCATCGACGCGATGCTACACTCCTTGAAAAGAGGTACTTTTTGGGCCAAAAACTACGAGTAGTCAGGCTCCTTCTAAATACACACGTGAGTAAAACTGTATGTATATATTTAACAAATAATGTTAGAAATGCGTTAGTGAAACTTTTGGTATTGCGTTGGTGCGAAACGTTTGGTCTGAAATAACCATGTACCATCTGATTGACGATTTGCTTTTTGACACTTTGATAGGGTATAATTTAACTATAGAGTACATAATTTAAAAGAGAATGAAGTAAAAAAAAAAATTATATTCTTGACTGAATTATTAAGTACGTTGAAGGAGTATTGTACATACAATGCGGTGTCGATCAACTTTTGTACCCGAAATTCGGCTGCAGTAATGTCTTGGGCCGCATTTTTGACATAGTTGGATCCCAACCCCTGATGTGGTTAAAGCGGCGGTGGGTCGAAGAGGCCGAGGAGGATGAATTTCTGGAATTTTTCCAATTAGGATTGCCTCATATTTTATAGCTGTATATAGAAAATTATTAACGGTATATTCTCGATTATGATGTGTGTAGGCAACATGTATCAATTTCTAAAACGTAATTAACTTATTAAGTCCGCCGATGACTCAATATATGAATAAAGTATGTATTTGCAAGTAAAAATGTAAGTACATATATTAACCAAAACAATAAAATTTAAGAAAAGGTATAATTCCTATTTAAAGCATAAATACTTCTATACCATGGTGAACTGTAATAACTAAATTCTTCACTCAATACTATTTTTTCAGAGAACAGTGGCGGGTCTCCATAAAAAACAATATTTGGAATCAAATTGCATGTAGTAAAAAAATATTTAAAAAATTCGGCATTTTTTAGAATCTATGTGAAAAAAAAAATTGTTAGAGAAAGGCTAGGAAAAAAGATTAATATGTTTTTTTCTTTTTACATTTGATTTTTTTAGTTACGCACCGCATTTTTTTATTTGTGAACTTCACTAACATATTACTATTAAGTGATTACCATATTACGATACTTTATTGGACAGTATTTCCACTACTTAAAAAAAAATGGCTGTAAAATGGTACCACTAAATTGATAAAGGACATTAAAATAATCAAATAAGCTCATAATATTTTTCTTTATTTTTCTGAGGTTCTACTGACTTAGACGATAGTTTCAAAAAACGTAGATATTTACTAGAATTAGTTTCCTATGAATGACATTTTAAGACGCTGAAATTATATTCAACTACGAATTCGCCATTGTTCTTTGAATCCAGCCCTCAAATAAAAACAACTGAGTTAAGAACCACCTTATTTTAATTCGATTTAAAATACGCGTCATTTCCGGAAAGATCTACCTCAAACTATAAGGCATAATTTGTTATCGTATTATATATAAACTGACCCGGCCTGTCTGCCCGGCAAACTACATTATTTAACCTGAGAATAACCTTTTACTGAACAAATCAATCAACTATAGCAGGCGCCTATATGGGGCAACCCGCTTTGAGCTTTTGTTCGACTGTGGTTTAGAAAGCGATTTAGTTATTTTTATTTTAAAATATATAATTATTATATTATTATATTTTTTTATACTTTTTCATGTTTGGCGATAAAATACAGTGAGATGAAACATAATAATATAGTGTTATATAATTTAATTTCAACAGTCATATCGTTTGCTCAAAATTATCATCCAAAAACAGACTTTTGGTTTAATACTTTTTGTACATGTTGTATTTAATAAATTTATTAGAATTAAGACACTTTTAGGTCGCTACTAATTATTGGTGCACGAAATAATTACTCGGAATATTTTGTGGATAAAATATATACTATTTTATTCTTTATAACTTAAGTACTATTAAATTCTCTCAAAAGAAGGTACTGAAAATGCTAATTTATGACCTCTATAGCAAAGAAGAGTCGCTCAAAGTAACTGATTATTTTGTACAACTTAGAGCTTACCGTAACTTGGAGCTTTTTGTAGCAGGTAAGACAGGCGCCTTACATTACATATACGTTTGTCCGGACATGTTTGACCGGACCGGACACGGTCGAACTTTGATCGATAGCCCGGATTTATGATCCGGTTTCCCCCGTCTTAAGTAATTGACCGGCTCCATTAGAGGTGCCCTTCAGAGTTCCGTGCGCCACAAA